TTCGAAGTGTCGACTTAAAGTATTCATAACAGTAATATTTTATCTAGCCTAAATTTGAGGTAAAATAATGTAAATAATGTAAAATATGCTTTATATAAAGTAAACAAAAATCAATGAGTGGTGATGGTTCATGCCAATTTTTGATAAAGAGTTGCTAACACTCACTAAAGTATCAAATTCTTAGCATTTTTAACGAATATGTAATAATGGAAAGTGTCCAATTTATAAATCGGGCTGCCGTAATGAAGCTTCAAATTATAGACAATTTAAAAATTAGCTACTATTTCCAAAATCTTTGAGCATAATATTTATACCTTTCGCAAAACAAGCATAAAATATCTAATCTTCCAATTTTCTGAGACTATTGTGTGCCAAAAATGGAAGGAGGATTGCAAATTTATGCCATATATACAGACCCTGGCCAAAATTATGCACCAGTTGTTGTTAGAAAAATTATTATTTCTTGAATGTTGTTTATCTTACCTTGTTTAGATCTCGGGTGTCCCACAGGGTAGTATTTTGGGACTATTACTTCTTACTTTGTACATTATTTATATATAATATATAATTTATGCATGATGATCTTGATAATTGTTATGATTGGTGTTTCTAAAATGGTCTATAGGTTAACAAAAGTAAGTGTTACAATTTATCGTATACAAGATTACATTATCCGTTAATTTTTTGTATTTTTTTAAAGACTCAAACCTAAAAATGCTGAATGAAGCTATGGACCATGGTAAAATTAAGAAGGTAAAGTCAATTCTATTCTCTGAATGCAATACCTTCTTAATTCTGCCATGCAATAGACTTGGGTACTTTAATTGATTCCAAGTTAGGAAACTCCATCCCTAATCGAACTCAACAATTTTAGATTATATTTTATTGCTTTTTTATTGATAAATGAATAGTTATTTTGCCGATTAAGACAAGTGAATTGTCTTGTACTTCCCCGGTAACCAAACACTATAGCAATATTGATGGCACCGAAATAGCAGAAATTAATAAAAAGATTTGCCACAATAAAATTGCATCAGAATTTCACAACATCGACGCGCAAACGTACATACACATATAGGTACGGACGCACATAGGTCCGGACACATATAAGTCCGTACACATATAGGTACGGACGTACATAATCGTTTTAGCGTGAATCAATTGGTTCGAAGAAATATGCGATAAGAACAATCCTGAAACTGAATGAATGGCAACAAAGAAACAACAGCAACAAATTTGAGGATACACGATCTAGGCTGCAAAAAGTGCACATTCCGAAATTCAATAAACTTAACACTCAGTAATGGTTTGCACAATTTGCTTTGCGTAAATAACTTCGGGGGGAGACAATTTTTACCTTGTAAGTCTACGTCTTAAAGACGAAGTTCTCCTGTCAGTGACAGACCTAATCACAGGCCCAACAGAAAAAACGAATATTTGGCGATTAAGGAGAGAATAATTAATTAATGAATCAAAACTTCGAATTCTAATACAAGGAGGTGAAACAAATGGCATGAAACCGATATCAATTCTGGCGTATATGAAACCTGGTAAAGGTAATGACGCCATATATTTAGAAAATAGTTTCTTGTTCTTAGCATCCAATAACAACAACAGCAGTATTCATCAATCCCACGTCAGCGGGTTCTACGACACCGGATTGACCCGAAACAACAACACTCCAGTTTCGGCCAGCGGCTGCCAATCCAGTGTATACATGTTTGTTTGAAGGAAAACCCCGGACCATGGTTCTGTACAGTTTGCCGTGTTTTGGCAAACCACCATAGATCAGTATCGGTGCGATGTAATGGATGCAGAGGATGGGTGCATTTTAGGAATTGTTCCGGTTTAACCCGGTTGCGAGACTATAGCGATAGGGACTATGTTGCATCGTTCTGCACCAACGTAGTTCCCGTCAACTTCGGAGTCGTCGCCGGAGTATGGAACTCCCCCGCAGTCTCCAGAACAGCAACCTTTACTGCAGACAATGCATCATTCTTGCAGTTCAATTGCAACGGACTCCGAGGTAAAATTGTTGAGATAGTGGATTTTATGAATCGGAGAAATATTAAGATCGCAGCGGTGCAGGAAATCAAGCTCAATCAAAATTGTAGTTTACAACGTTGCAATGGTTACAACGTATTGAGGAAAGATCGCACCAGAAGTGGAGGTGGGGGATTAGCGTTCCTGATACACCACTCTGTTCAATACAGACCTATCTCGCTTGAGCTAGTCTCTAGTGACCCGTACATGGAGTGTATGGGGGTAGCAGTCAAGTGTGGTACTGCCGAGGTAGAGGTGCGTAATGTGTATATCCTGCCGGTTAATAGCTGTGAACCGCGTTACTTGCCTAATATAAGCCCACTTTTGGAAGGCAATAACCGCCTGGTACTAGGGGACTTCAATGCCCACCATGAGTTGTGGCATTCCGTCCTAGGTAATGACCAGAGGGGATCAGCGTTGGCAGAGCAGATTGACTGTTCCACATTTTGCACGGTAAACGAGGATGGGGGCATCCTCGAATAAGAGGAGAGTGTCACAGTTCGCAGATTTAACCATCGTGTCACCCGGTCTGATAAATGACGTGACTTGGCAAACCCGTCATTTCTCTTGGCTCAGACCATCTTCCGATAATCGTCTCCATCAGCAGATCGCCCCATTCATAACCTCTGAACGCCGCACTTTCCTTAACCATGGGAAAGCCCACTAGCCCGAGTTCAGAGAGTTCACCAACCTTCGCGTCAGAGAACTGCCCAATCCTTCTGATGTTCGGGTAACTGAAAGGATTTTCCGGGACATCATCAAAGCTGCAGCCGCTCGCTATATACCTGCTGGTCGAATACCCGAAGTAAGACCAAATTTCCCAGCAGAGGCAGCGGGATTAGCGAATGAGCGTGATGAGCTCCGACGTACCAACCCTGCTGATCCCAGAGTCAGTGAACTGACAGTGGAAGTCAACCGGTTGGTACAGGAGCATAAGCGGAAAAAGTGGCTAGACCATCTGAAGTGTTGCAACATTGGAACCGACTTGAGTAAACTGTGGGTAACGGTAAAGTCACTTTCGAACCCTGGAAAAAAGAATGATAGGACAGCAGTCACATTTAACGACATAACTGTGACTGATCCGAAGAGATGCGCTGGCTGTTATAACCGCCAATTTGTCGAGCACCCCGAGAGTGATAGGGCGAGGCGAAGAGTACTACGTCGTATAAGAGCTCTTCCCTCCGAGGATGTACCCTCACAGTTTACGATGGGTGATGTTGCGAATGTCATCCGAAACGCTAAGTCATCTAAAGCGTTGGGCCCGGACGGAATATCAATGGTAATGTTGAAGCAACTGGATACGCCGGGAGTTGAGTATTTAACCAAAGTCCTTAACTTGTCGTTAGCCACCCACATAGTTCCCGAAGCCTGGAAAATGGGCAGAGTGGTCCCGCTACTGAAGCCTGGCAAGGATGCCAGCAAAGGCGAATCATACAGGCCAATTTCGCTTTTGTCGCTAGTAGCAAAGACTCTCGAAGCCTTACTCCTCCCCAGTATCAGAGGAAGCTATTCAGTTGCTAACCATCAACACGGTTTCCGTCCACAAAATAGCACTACAACAGCATTGCACGCCATATCCACACATATCAGACGAGGACTCAACCAGAACAGGCCGTGCCACAGAACAGTAGTGGTGGCTCTCGACCTATCAAAGGTCTTTGATACGGTCAACCATGCCAAGCTGTGCGAGGACGTTGAGAACACTACCCTCCGGCCAAGTTTGAAACGTTGGATAGTCAACTATATGTGTGGACGCCAGTCGTACGTGGAAATCCGGAATAAGAAGTCCAAGCCTCGTAGAGTGAAACAGGGAGTTCCCCAAGTTGGGGTGATATTTCCGGAACTGTTTAACCTCTACCTTTCCGGAATTCCGGGCCCTCCAGACGGCATCGAGATCGTAACTTGTGCGGATGATTGTACGGGTCCTGTAGTTGATGACATATGTGTCAGGGTGAATAACTATCTCGCGGAGCTTGCCGCCTACTTCCACTAAATCAACGGCCACACTACCCAGCTAACAATTTTTTCCGAGGGCTCTGATGTCCGATTTTTTGTCGAGATTTTCAGACGTTTCTTCAGAAAAGTTTCCGAGTAATCTGCACATACTCGTTTCTTTTGTTTTGTTTGTCAGACGAGGACTCAACCAGAACAGGCCGTGCCACAGAACAGTAGTGGTGGCTCTCGACCTATCAAAGGTCTTTGATACGGTCAACCATGCCAAGCTGTGCGAGGACGTTGAGAACACTACCCTCCGGCCAAGTTTGAAACGTTGGATAGTCAACTATATGTGTGGACGCCAGTCGTACGTGGAAATCCGGAATAAGAAGTCCAAGCCTCGTAGAGTGAAACAGGGAGTTCCCCAAGTTGGGGTGATATTTCCGGAACTGTTTAACCTCTACCTTTCAATACCTACCTTTCAATACAGACCTATCTCGCTTGAGCTAGTCTCTAGTGACCCGTACATGGAGTGTATGGGGGTAGCAGTCAAGTGTGGTACTGCCGAGGTAGAGGTGCGTAATGTGTATATCCCGCCGGTTAATAGCTGTGAACCTCGTTACTTGCCTAATATAAGCCCACTTTTGGAAGGCAATAACCGCCTGGTACTAGGGGACTTCAATGCCCACCATGAGTTGTGGCATTCCGTCCTAGGTGATGACCAGAGGGGATCAGCGTTGGCAGAGCAGATTGACTGTTCCACGTTTTGCACGGTAAACGAGGATGGGGGCATCCTCGAATAAGAGGAGAGTGTCACAGTTCGCAGATTTAACCATCGTGTCACCCGGTCTGATAAATGACGTGACTTGGCAAACCCGTCATTTCTCTTGGCTCAGACCATCTCCCGATAATCGTCTCCATCAGCAGATCGCCCCATTCATAACCTCTGAACGCCGCACTTTCCTTAACCATGGGAAAGCCCACTAGCCCGAGTTCAGAGAGTTCACCAACCTTCGCGTCAGAGAACTGCCCAATCCTTCTGATGTTCGGGTAACTGAAAGGATTTTCCGGGACATCATCAAAGCTGCAGCCGCTCGCTATATACCTGCTGGTCGAATACCCGAAGTAAGACCAAATTTCCCAGCAGAGGCAGCGGGATTAGCGAATGAGCGTGATGAGCTCCGACGTACCAACCCTGCTGATCCCAGAGTCAGTGAACTGACAGTGGAAGTCAACCGGTTGGTACAGGAGCATAAGCGGAAAAAGTGGCTAGACCATCTGAAGTGTTGCAACATTGGAACCGACTTGAGTAAACTGTGGGTAACGGTAAAGTCACTTTCGAACCCTGGAAAAAAGAATGATAGGACAGCAGTCACATTTAACGACATAACTGTGACTGATCCGAAGAGATGCGCTGGCTGTTATAACCGCCAATTTGTCGAGCACCCCGAGAGTGATAGGGCGAGGCGAAGAGTACTACGTCGTATAAGAGCTCTTCCCTCCGAGGATGTACCCTCACAGTTTACGATGGGTGATGTTGCGAATGTCATCCGAAACGCTAAGTCATCTAAAGCGTTGGGCCCGGACGGAATATCAATGGTAATGTTGAAGCAACTGGATACGCCGGGAGTTGAGTATTTAACCAAAGTCCTTAACTTGTCGTTAGCCACCCACATAGTTCCCGAAGCCTGGAAAATGGGCAGAGTGGTCCCGCTACTGAAGCCTGGCAAGGATGCCAGCAAAGGCGAATCATACAGGCCAATTTCGCTTTTGTCGCTAGTAGCAAAGACTCTCGAAGCCTTACTCCTCCCCAGTATCAGAGGAAGCTATTCAGTTGCTAACCATCAACACGGTTTCCGTCCACAAAATAGCACTACAACAGCATTGCACGCCATATCCACACATATCAGACGAGGACTCAACCAGAACAGGCCGTGCCACAGAACAGTAGTGGTGGCTCTCGACCTATCAAAGGTCTTTGATACGGTCAACCATGCCAAGCTGTGCGAGGACGTTGAGAACACTACCCTCCGGCCAAGTTTGAAACGTTGGATAGTCAACTATATGTGTGGACGCCAGTCGTACGTGGAAATCCGGAATAAGAAGTCCAAGCCTCGTAGAGTGAAACAGGGAGTTCCCCAAGTTGGGGTGATATTTCCGGAACTGTTTAACCTCTACCTTTCCGGAATTCCGGGCCCTCCAGACGGCATCGAGATCGTAACTTGTGCGGATGATTGTACGGGTCCTGTAGTTGATGACATATGTGTCAGGGTGAATAACTATCTCGCGGAGCTTGCCGCCTACTTCCACTAAATCAACGGCCACACTACCCAGCTAACAATTTTTTCCGAGGGCTCTGATGTCCGATTTTTTGTCGAGATTTTCAGACGTTTCTTCAGAAAAGTTTCCGAGTAATCTGCACATACTCGTTTCTTTTGTTTTGTTTGAACAAAACAAAGCAAAAGAGAAAAAAAAAACATCGTATACAGAGAGTTAACTCTTTTTTGGCGAGAATTTCTAATGTTACTCCAGAAAAGTTTCCGAGTAATCTGCACATACTCGTTTCTTTTGTTTTGAAAAAAAGAAACACAAAAATTCTGACATTAGCAGAGAGTTAACTTTTTTCTGTTGAGATTTATATTACCGTTCCTTTCGAAAAGTTTCCGAGTACTCTGCACATGCTCGGTTGAAATTATTTGAAGAATTTTGTGTATACAACTTTTTTGTTTTTTTTGATTATGATCAGTTTGTCGTCAGAATTTGTACGGAGCACGAGTGCAGTGTGTTGCAGTGAAAAGTTAAAATGAAAATTAAAGGAAGATTTGGACCTTCAGTACCTTATGGTAAGTAAGCACCTTTCTACAATTACTACTTTTATTAATATCTTGAATTGTTTAGCTACGCCGTTTAAAAAATCAACGCCATGACTATGTAAACACTTTTACATATGAAAATTTTAGACTTATTTTTCAAACTGGCGAGGTCAACGTTTTCGTGGCACGAAATGTACCAAAATACAGCTGTAAAGGACATCTAATTTATTAGGCTCGTTAAAGGTTTGTATCCTTGTGTTTTAAACGCTTTGATAATATAAATAATATTTTTTTCATTTTTATTACTTAGATGCGGCATTGGAACATATTCCGGAAACTATGGGAAGTGCCATATAAACCCATATAAAACATTTCTTCAAATCGGCTAAAGATAGGCTTAACAAACCTTAACCTGGGCCAAAATCGAACTCAGTCAACCTTAAACTCCTTTGTTCATCTGAGAATAAGCCAGCCGATGACTTGAGCCAGCCAAATATGCGCTTTATATATTTCCACCCTTAATTATATTGATTTACATTGAATTGCACCTTTTTATTTTTTTTATATATTAATTTCCGTATTCCTTATATTTTACAAAAAAAAAAAAAAAACTGAATACAAATGTTCTGTCATTAAATCGATAAAGTTAGATAAAGTTTTATTATTTCTTTATGTTTTTCGATTACAACTATAAAATAAATGTAGATTTTTTTGCGAATTTCGTATCAAACATCCTATTATTTTCCGATTTTCGAATGAATTATTCGAATTTTTCCCGATTTTCGGATAAAACTATAGAATAAATTCAGATTTTTTTCCGAATTTCGAATCAAACATCCGAAAATTTTCAGAATTTCGTATCAAACATCCTATTATTTTCCGATTTTCGAATGAATTATTCGAATTTTTCCCGATTTTCGGATAAAACTATAGAATAAATTCAGATTTTTTTCCGAATTTCGAATCAAACATCCGAAAATTTTCAGAATTTCGTATCAAACATCCTATTATTTTCCGATTTTCGAATGAATTATTCGAATTTTTCCCGATTTTCGGATAAAACTATAGAATAAATTCAGATTTTTTTCCGAATTTCGTATCAAACATCCGAAATTTTTCCAAATTTCGTATCAAACATCCTATATTTCTCCGAATTTTCCTTTTTTCTTTGCCGAATTCTATACGAATTCGCCCCGAAACTCTTACGTTCTTTCAGAATTTTTTCCGCAAAATCTTTCAGAATCTTGGGCAATCTCACACAATTTTTTTCCGAATTCGACATCAGAGTCGGAAACTTGTGCAGAGTTTTTTTCCGAATTCGGAAGAAAATCGGAAAAAAATGTTTGCTGGGTATTTACCACATGGTCTGCGGAGATGAGAACACAGCTGAATGTGCAGGTCGAGGGGCACATAATTCCGACCACCAACTACCCCAAAATCCTTGGGGTCACATTCGATAGCATGTTCAAGTCTTCCGCGCCAAAGCTATTTGCGATAAAATGAAAAGTAGGAACAAGGTCCTCAAGGCGCTAGCCGGCAGCATTTGGGGTGCGGATAAGGAAACCTTGTTGACCTCTTATAAAGCGATAGGTCGGTCTGTGGTTAACTATGCGGCTCCAGTGTGGTCGGCGAATACAAGTGCAACGCAGTGGAAAAGTATTCAGACCTGCCAGAATGCCGCCCTGAGAACTGCAACAGGGTGCCTCCTCATGACTCCTGTGGACCATTTACATGAGGAGACGAAGGTTCTTCCCTTACGTCAGCATAATCATATGCTTTCGTTGCAGTACCTGCTTGGGTGTTATCGCGGGAGTCACCCTAACCACCATATGGTGGATAGAACTCCCCCACCCAGGCGTGTATGGAAGGACCTGCACTATCTAGAGAGAGAGGTCCAGCGATATAAGAGAGAGCCTCTAGATCATGAAGCCTATCAAGCGGGTCTGAATAGCATGTATACTGATGCAGTCGCAGAGATAGTTAATAATTACAGTATGAATGCCATACTCGGAGTCCACCCCCCATCCATTGCAGCTGAAGAACGTCGGCTGTCTAGGCAAACCAGGGTAGTTTTGGCCCAACTACGTTCAGGATGGTGCAGCCGTCTCAATTCTTATTGGGCACGAATTGATGAGGATGTGCGGAACGCCTACCCAGCGTGCGATACAGGCCCGCACAACACGCTGCACTTCTTTAATTGTCCAGCCAAACCTACCCAACTCCGTCCAGAGGATCTATGGCTACAGCCCATAAGGGTAGCAGAATTCCTAAACCTGGACATTGAGGAAGAACCGGAATAGTCCGAAAAAACAACGGAACATGTAAAACTGCTACAACAACAACAACAACAGTATTCATTTGGTATCCACGACATCAAAACAAACAGCAGCTGTTGAAGCAATTTCACAACGAATGTGTTTCGCCGATATGTATCAAGCGATCAAGGAGCTTTCGCAGAAAGTCGACAAAGTCCTGAAACATATTGGTAGGAATCCATGGACAAAATGTAAACCAACGAAACCTGTGCTATTTCCATAAAAAATATATGGCGACAATGCAAGGAAATGCAAGCCTGATTGTTTCAAATATCAGCCGGTAAACTAACTGGGCTGTTAACACCAATACAATTAAAATATTTTTGTTGGTGAATTAAATCTATATGTATCAACAAAAATATAAATTTATAATTTTTAATATTTTGAATAAAGTGTGAGAACTTGGTTCATGTGGCTAAAATCTCCAAATACCAAGTATTCGGAGGTATTACTGTAAGCGTGATTTGCCACAGGAGGCAGACCCATTACAAACTCTATGGAATTGTAACAATTCCTATTGCAAATACCTAATATCGGGAAGATGCCATTATATGAGAGCTACACTTGAAGAAAAATGCTTCGTTGTATCAATGAAACGGTTTCATTGATGCAATGAAAAGCAACATTAATATAATGAATTTTTTGTTCATGCAATGAAAACTTACGTTGCTTTACAATATAGAGAGATATATAGCAAGTTGTAAAGAATCGCTGCGTTGTTTCCAAATTATGACAGATAAAAGTTTGGAAATTTTTCCCCTTTATTGGTGAGGTACCAGAAGGGGTTCGCGATATATAGCATCTGCACAACATATCTTGTGTTAGCAAAAATGTTTGTATGTGTAAAATTTGAAGAGGGTTGGATGCTTATTTCGCTTTCATTGAGCGTTTTGTTTTTCAAATTCTTGAACTCTATGTAGAGCAGGTAGCAAAAGAAATGGTCTGATCACTACCATCTTTATAACAGATCTTGTGTTGATGGAAATATTGAGTGCTGATTTCACGTTTTATGAGCTCAATGGATGGAACCAGAAAGAGTGGACCGATATTGTCCATTTTCGCACCAGACGCACCAGACCTTATAGTTTCTCTTTCTGTGCAAAATATATATATTTTTGAAAATTTCGACCATATGTGGTAGACGTACCAGAAGGAGTGGACTGATATATTCCATCTTAACACAATACTTTGGTCTGATAAAAATATTGGGATGTGTGAAGTTTGAAGACAATCGGACTCTCACATCACATTTTATGAGAGTTGTACTTATTCAAAATTTTGACCATTTGTGGGGAAGGTACTTGATTTTTCGCACCTGACCTAGCACTAACACAAATATTAGGATTCGCAAAGTTGGTGCAAAATCGGATAATTGTTTCTCTTCTGTGCAAAAAATATATTTTTGGAAAATCTCGAACTTTTGTGGGGGAGGTACCAGAAGGAGTGGACCGACATATTCCATCTTAACACCAGACCTTGGGTTAGTTTAATATTAGGATGTGTGAAAATTGAAGGCAATCGGGCTCTTACAACACATTTTATGAGAGTTGTAATTATTTAAAATTTTGACCGTTTGTGGGGGGAGGTACTTAATTTTTCGCACCTGACCTAGCAATAACACAAATATTAGGATTTGCAAAGTTGGAGCCAAATTGGATTATCGTTTCTCCTTCTGTGCACAAAATATATATTTTTGAAAATTTTGACCATTTGTGGGGGAGGAACCAGAAGGAGTGGACCGATATTGTCCATTTTCGCACCAGACCTAGCACTAACGCAAATATTAGGATTTGCAAAGTTGGAGCAAAATCGGCTTATAATTTCTCTTTCTGTGCAAAAAATATATATTTTTGAAAATTTCTACCATATGGGGGGGGGGGAGGTACCAGAAGGAGTGGACTGATATATTCCATTTTAACACCAGACCTTGGACGGATAAAAATAATGGGATGTGTGAAGTTTGAAGACAATCGGACTCTCACATCACATTTTATGAGAGTTGTAATTATTTAAAATTTTGACCGTTTGTGGGGGGAGGTACTTGATTTTTCGCACCTGACCTAGCACTAATACAAATATTAGGATTTGCAAAGTTGGAGCCAAATCGGATTATCGTTTCTCCTTCTGTGCACAAAATATATATTTTTGAAAATTTTGACCATTTGCGGGGAGGTACCAGAAGGAGTGGACCGATATATTTCATATTCCTTGGGTTAGTGTAAATATTGGGATGTGTGAAAATTGAAGGCAATCGGGCTCTTACAACACATTTTATGAGAGCTGCAATTATTTAAAATTTTGACCATTTGTTGGGGAAGCACAAGAAAGAGTTGATCGATATTGTCCATTTTCGCACCAGACCTAGCACTGACGCAAATATTAGGATTTGCAAAATTGGAACAAAATCGGCTTATAGTTTCTCTTTCTGTGCAAAAATATATATTTTTGAAAATTTCGACCATATGTGGGGGACGTACCAGAAGGAGTGGATTGATATATTCCATCTTAACACAAGACTTTGGTCTGATAAAAATATTGGGATGTGTGAAATTTGAAGACAAACGGGCTCTCACATCACATTTTATGAGAGTTGTAATTATTTAAAATTTTGACCATTTGTTGGGGAGGTACATGATGGAGTGTACCGATATTGACCATTTTCGCACCTGAGCCAGCACTAACGCAAATATTAGGATTTGTAAAGTTGTAGCAAAATCGGATTTTCCTTTCTCTTTCTGTGCAAAAAATATATTTTTTGAAAATTTCGACCTTTTGTGGGGGAGGTACCAGAAGGAGTGGACCGATATTGCCCATCTCCGAACTCGATCTAAGTTTGACAAAATTATTACGATGTTCCAAGTTTGGACCAAATCGGATACTCCCCTTGAGAGTTATCGTGCGCACCAGTCAGACAGACAGACGGACATTTCAAATACGAAATTTGAAGCAATTCCACTGAAAAATGTGGCTAAAATCATTAAAACACCGTACATGGGGGCTATACGAAGACGTGGACCTATATTAACAATGTTCCGCCACAGGAGCTAGAACCCATTACGAACCATGGCATAATGACAAATGGTAGAACAAAGCTATTTCCTAATTACATGTTTTTCTTTTGGTGACCTTATTCTGTCAAAACATATACACATGTTGTGTATGTATGTGTATTGTTTTGAATAAAAAATAAAATAATTTGAAATTATTTCAAATTTGGTTGCAAAATAAATGCAAATTTTCGACGTA